GGAAGAGTCTCGGCCCGGATGCTTCTGAATTAGAAGCTTGGTCGCTGCCGTTTTGCTGGTTCTACTTCCACACAGCGGTAGTTGCTTAGTTGGTTATGTGACTAGATGAGTGAAAATGAAAAATACATCAGAGATTTTCGAAAATGTCATTGAGGTGTAGTGTTTACCTATGGTTACTTGATGATTACATAAAAATAATTGCAGAAAGTAGGGCACGTCTTGTTGGTTGTGAAGGTGCTACGACAAATGGGCTCTTGGAAGAGTCTCGACCCGGCTGCTGCTGGACACGGTTGCTTCGTAGAGTGCACTTGCTTCCAAGTTTGGTTACAAGATTACAACCCTGTAGAGCATTTTGTATGGTCGTTGGGGGCGTGTGGCACTGAATATGGCAATGAGTGTGCAAAATGTTACGCAATTGCATCCTCCCTATTCGCACACGCCCGAAGATCGGAGGCGAATGGCACTTCGACTTGTTTCGTCTACTAACAACTCTCTGATGACATGGGGATGGGTAAGTAGCAATGCTACATCGACATGTTTCGTCTAGAAACGATTCTCTGATGACTGTGTTGGGGAAGCAGCATATGTACTTAATTGGTGGATTTGTTAGTTATTTCGTGCTTTTGGACAATGCTTGATATTTATCACATTTTCGGTAGTTTCTATTTTAAAAATCAACAGTTGCTTGCTATTGATGCGTAGGAATTTTTCTGCCCGATTGGTGATAAATTTATTGAAATTGGTCCAGGAGTAATTGAGTTATTAACGTTCAAAATCTTCTTTAAATTCGTTACATGTTCCATTTTCGGTTTTCACAAAGTGTACCCCGTATAGAAATCACAGACGTAATGCTACGTCAAAATATATATCTTAGAAACGTGACATAAATTGTTGGACTGTTGAAAATCTTCAGAGCAATATCTGACCAACGTGAAGTCATGAAACTTTATAGAGGTCTTTTGACTATTTCGTGGTCGACATGATATCCTTAAAAATTTATCTGAGAAACGTGACTTGGATTTATAGACAGTTAAAGTCTTGCAAAAATATCTAAAGGACTTTATGGGGATCTCCGATCTACTGAAGGTCATTGGAATAATTCTTGGTCAACCTGATGTCTTAAAAAAAAACCCAAGAGACATGACTTGAATTGTTGAACTGTTGAAGATCTTCAGAACAATATCTGACCATCCTCATATGTTGAAAAAATATCCAAAGGACTTTATGGAGACCTGTGATTAAATTATGGTCTTTGGAATAATTTCTGGTCGCCGACGCCGGTGGTGTAGTGGTAAGCGTGACTGCTTTCTAACACCTCGATGGGTCTGGGTTCAATCCCAGCCGAGGTCGGTGGGATTTTTCTGAGGCATAAAAATCTCTGGTCACGTCTTCCTTCGGAAGGGAAGTAAATCCGTTGGTCCCGGCCCATGTGTGTGTTGAATGGGTGCGATATCCTACGCAGGTGTGGAAGCTGCCTTCCTGCACATTCGATTGCCGTCAAAGGATGGCAATCGATGTCCGTCGGTGATTGGCACTAGATTGCGGAACAGAGACAGATGTTAAAAAATAAAGGAAATAATTTCTGGTCAACCTGATATCTAAGACAGTGCCGTATTAACGGTAAGGCAGTGGAGGGGGCCCCCGGCTCAGAGACATCAATCATAATGTGTTGGATTGCGACTCTTTAGAGCAGGGCTGGCAGTACTGAGGCGATATATAGCAGTGACTTTAGTGACTAAAATTACGGAAATAGTGACCAAATAGTGACTTTAAAATAATAAATAAGTAACCAATAGTGACATTTGATTTGATATTGAAATTAGTTTTTAATGTCATGCAACTTAAAATGAAAATTTCATAAATTCTTCTAATTATATCGAATCTCACAAAGGAATTTCCTATAAAGTAGTGAAGTGGAGTGATTTGAATAATTTCCTTTTGATTACGTTATACATGATGACTAACAAATAGCAATTTCCGGATTTTCCCGGGATTTTTTTAAATTTTACTGTTTGTGTGATATACGTTTAAATTAATGTATAAGCCAATGAAGCCGCTAGATTAAATAGGGTTAAATAGATCATTACAACGACAGCCTTTTTTTGTTTTGGGAGATCTTGAATTTGATGCTACGTTTGAAATATTTAAAATTAGAGGAAGATAAAATGTCTTCAGAATAATCTCAAGAACTTTTTTATAATCATTACCCCTCTCTTAAACTTGCTTCTAAAATAATCCTAACAAAAATAATACTGCTTCCTTGAAGCCTGTGCAGAACAATTATCAAAATTCTTGCAAATAGATTATGTTCGTAGTTGAAGATGCTTAACATCAAATATCAGACCTAAAGGGGACATTTTATACGATAGTTGAGGAGATGAAAGTATAGAGTTGATAGTTCCGTTAGAGTACGGCAAGGTGAAAATTGAAAATAGAAAGTAGAATGCGAGCAAAGATCAATTTTGATGAAGGCACGAATCGGATCGAGCATTCCTTTTACCAAACTCACCCGTTGATGGATGGTGAGCGGTATTTCTCCCCGCCACCGCTGGCAAAAGGGATGATCGCCGATGTACGGAAACAGTTCTATCGATTGTTTCACACTCAAGTCGCCATCTGACATGCATCTACCCGATTGCTCTCCTCAAAATGGCCCCTTACTCGTTTTCTACTTTCTATATACAATTTTCACACTGCCGTACTATAACGGAACTATGAACTCTATACTTTCATCTCTTCAAGCATCATAAAAAATCTTCAGTTAAGACTGATATCAATAACTTCACGCATGAAGTAATGAAACATGATTAGTTAAAGTAGAGTTTTTTTTTTAATGATTCTTCCAGGAATTTCTTGAAGGTTCCTTCCATAAATCCATTTTAAATTTACTTGAATTCTTCTTAGAAATTCCCATGCAATTAACCAAAGAATTTTAATTAATTTTTGCTAAGAGTAATCTTGGAGTTCTCCCCTGAATTCTATTGGAAATTCAATTCGTATTTCCCTCACAATTCCCATGATATTTTCTCAGAATTCTCAAAACCAAAATTCATCTCAGAATACTCTTGAAACTCTTCTCAGAGTTCCTTTAAGATTGAACTCTCCAAATTGGAATTCTTCTCGCAACTTATTTCTTGGAAATATCCTCAGAATCACCCCAGAATTCGTTTAAAACTATCAGCAGAGATCATCTCTCCGAGCTCCCTCGAAAAATCAGAACCTATTTTGAATGTTTATTAGAATTGAACCTACGATCCTCATCCAATCATCATAGAATACATAGAATTATATTGGAATTATTTCCAAAAAAAATTCGGAGCTGAATTTTGCGTCTTAAATAATTTAAACAATAATCAAAAGCGGCGCTCGTATGTGTCAGTCTCAGCCCAAGTAACAATTTTGGTTTTATGAGGGTTCTGTAGACCATGATTTACGCTTATAGAATGCTATACAACCTCAATAAAGCTTGCAATGTTTCTTGGGAGGGCCACTTAAGCCTTGAAACAGGTTTAACGATATTGATAAATCTGATTTAAGATTTCGAGCGGAGGGCCCTCAGAGCACTTAATTTTACATGAGACTTTCGTAGTCTGTACTTTGGTATTATTCTTTGAAATAACTTGGTGTCATCCCTAGGATTCCTGAAGATCTAGCACAGACAACTACTATTTAAAAGTTTTCAAGGTTTCGGGGAAAGGAGGTATGTTTTCCCGATTCGTAATCGAAATTGAAGGCATTTACCAGTATTTTCCCTGTTTTTTAAAGTTCCTTGAATGTTTGAGATTCACTGGCCTCCCTGGTTAAATTTTTTTATTTTTTAACTGATATGCATATTTTGTCATAACTACTGTAGACTTCCTTAGTGCCAAGTAGTCAATTTAAACATTTTGTTGATATTTTCGATTTCACTCTATTTTGGTTGTGAACTATTTGACTTTTTAGTGACTGACTTCAAATTAGTGACCAAGTTACTAAAAAGTGACCTACTACCAGCCCTGTTAGAGTTAGGTAGACCAGGTGGAAGAAGACCTACAGAGTGAATGAAAATAAGATATTGGTAATCGCTGCTCGACGTCTCGGACTTGACCATTTTAAGGCAAACAATATTGACTATCAATTTTAAAGATCTATGATGTAGAAACTTTTGTAGCACTTAAGCATAGAACAAAAAAAAAATAACTTTTGGACCCAGGCAACTTCTCTAGATCGTAGTCTAAGGATAAATCTCATTGTTCTAGAACGAGGAAAATGTTCCAAGATGGAAAGATCACGGACATAGAAAGCTATGACTTGTTGTTTTAAGGCTGGGCAATTCTAGATCTCTAAGGCATACAAATTTAAAAAAAAATGCCGCCTAGAATAATATTCAATATTTTGAACGTATAGATATTAAGAACGTTCGCAGTCCTAGAAACATTTAAATGCTTCTGAAACATAAAAAAACATTTTATGATCTTGGACATAGAATTTGTTTTCTAAAATCAGAACTTGAAGTTTGTTTGATTCCGGATTACAAGTTAGGGGAAAAAAAAAGGGAAAAACTTGATTTTTTTTTCACTCGATGTTTGGACATAAAATGAGTACTAAAGCTACCGGGATTCAAACAATTTTGCAAAATTCTGGAGCCTTCCGCCGTATTGATATACGGGTAAATTTACTATCTGTACTTTTGTGCAATTTTCTACACCTTTACTAAAGATCATTTCTCGACTGAACGGCAAGAAAATTAGTTATTAATTAATTCCGAAGCTAGTAACTTGCTGATATGATAAATCAACTGTTTTGAGGACATACCGGTCTGATAATAAAACATGTTATACATTCTTGAAATTAGTGAAAATATCAACAAGTTTCTAGACTAGTTGTGTTTCTCCGGGACACCCTATCACGAGAGTTTCGATTGCTATCCATAGCTACATCCTACAACAAAACTAACCAGCATGCAAACCAATATGTTTCTTCTCATTTCCATTTTTCTTTTTCTTCCCGCAATTGACCAGATATCTGCCAAAAACCGCCGGCCTTCGACGGATCACCCTCCACAAGAGCGTATCCTCCCGAGGGGACAAAATGTATCTGCTGATTTGCGAGTGTGCCGATCTGTTGAAGGACCTCTCTGCGGCCGCCCTGCTGATACCGGCCCTCCGAGCGCGCCTCTGTGGCTACACGGGACTCTACCGGCCCATCCAGACCTTCTAGGACAAGTGAAACGAGCGAGCGGCTGCACTTTAGTCTCCTTTCCCATCCTCCTGATTCTCCCGTTCGGACCCTCAGCGCCGCTCAGCACTCTCGTTCTCACTTAGCACCCAACACCAGCATTATCAAGGTCACGCGCCTCCCGCCAGAACGTTGAGTTGTACATTTTCGATGGCTAATCAAGTGAATCGAATTTAAGGAAATATTTTCCATTACATTTTTTTAATTCAGATAAATAACGATAGAACGAAACTAGTGATTAATTCCGTTTTTATGTAATAAGACAACTAGATGAACATACAAAAAAACGTAGAACATTATTTTTTTCTAAAATAAATAAATTTAACGCATTGTTTCCAGAAGACGGTTGTGCAAAAAAAGTATATAATAATATAATATCAAAGAATTAAAACTTTAAGCGGATAGTAAAATACGAGAGTAGCAAAGCAATGAAAAGCCAATTCGTGAAAAAACGAATATTTATCGGGCAAGTCAAAACTCCGTCACCACACACACACACATACATACACAACAACACGGTGAACACTTATAAGCTTAACAATTTTTATCGACAGCAGTAAAAGCAATAAGTTACCAGTATTTACTAAACATAGGACGCGAAAAGAGGTGAATGGAACAAAACAAAACAAAAACATACATAAATTGAACAACTGCCAGAAGCAGCAGAAATAGATTGATACGAGAAAAAAAATCGTTTTCCTACGCTCGGAAAAGAAAAATTTGCAACTACAGAAAAAAAAAATAATCAACCACAACAATGTAAAATGAAAGGACACCCATGGTTTCATATACGATTATACAATCATCGAACTAACTTTATTTACACTCTTCCACACTCGCAATCGTACCACCTAGACACACGAATATACGTACAACATCCCGACACACACCTACACCCACACCCACACACCCACGTTAGTTACATCAAGTTTGAATTGACAACAAAAGAGGAATCATAGAGAATTTATTGAATTACGAATTACGACGGTTGAGGCTATTAGGTTCGTCCTTAGGGCATATGATGCCACGTGTCTATATTTTGAATGAAACATGATTGAATTTGTTTTCCAACGGAAACAATCCGCGTACAATTCACCGAAGGAACAAAGTTCCTGGAATCAGATTGGAAAATATATGAATCGATCGATACCCGGGTGTTGATTTGATTGGGAATTCGTAGCACAATTTGACGTCGGAAGGTGGTCTCGGATGAAAGGTGATCGTAGGAATGTCAGTCACTAAAACTGTGGTCATTCAAAGCGTATGAAACGAATTGCTTGATTGTGATTTAAAGCAAAGTGAAAAACGATAAAACTTACTGCTTTTTGAGAAGGTTACTTCAGCGGACCACTCAACCCTTGTGCCATCCATGATTACAGTACAAGAAGGAGCCGGTTTCAGTTTGGGCGATTGCCGATGGAGGAACATGATCGCTTGTGTTTTGGAGGCATTGATTTTGATTTTCCACGTGGTGGCATAATCAGCAAAGGCGTTAAGGCATCCTTGAAGTTTGTTCGTTATTTCGCGAGGCATCCTTCCTTTGACGGCTATTGCGGTATCATCTGCGAACAGGAAAAACACGCAACCGTCTCCAAGGGGAGGAATGTCGGAAGTGTAAATGCTGTAAAGCAAGGGGCCCAGCAGACTGCCTTGCGGGACTCCTGCTGGGATAGAAAACGTGTCTGAAAGACAACCATTCAACGATACCTTAAACGACCTTTGCTGGAGGTAGTTACGGGTGATTTTGGAATGTAATGGAAAGTTGAAGTTACAAAGCTTGTATACAAGCCCATTGTGCCAGACATTATCAAACACTTTCTCAACGTCTAACAAGGCCTGTGGACTTGGATACAGCTTTGTTACTTCGGATGTTATTCATCACCCGCACTAGCTGGTGATTGGTGGAGTGCCCCTTTCTGAAACCAAACTGTCCCGGAAGGAGAATGTTATTTTCCTCGACAAACTTGAGCAAACGATTGAGAATGAGTTTCTCGAACAATTTGCTCAGCACTGAAAGGAGGCTGATTGGTATGTAGCTTGAAGGCAATGTTGGATCCTTTCCGGGTTTGCGGATTTGGCAGTTCCAAACATCTGTTGAAGATAGCGGTTAGAAGAGACTGCACTTCCATGCTGAGTCTCTTCAAGATCAAGTTGAATATACCGTCAAACCCGGGAGCCTTCATGTTCTTGGTGCATTTCAGCGCTGAGCAAATTTGTTGTACTGTAATCATATCCGACGGAGGCACGACACAAGGGGAGGCATCTAGGTTTTGAACGCATTGCGCATCCTGATCATCGAGCGGACTTTGGATAGTCGAGCCAAGCAAATGCGATGAAGCGACATGCTTGCCGTTCGCATTTGCTTTCTCCTGTGGGGTGATTAAAAGCCGATCGTCATCATTTTCGACTCTGAGAGGTGGAACGGGTTTGGGATGAGTTTTCAGGACCTTGGCTACCTTCCAGAATGGTCTGGAGCGGTCGTCCAGATTCTGGACAACACGCCCGAAACTTTCATTTCGGAGTGAGTTCATTATGGAAGCAATCTCCCTGTTCAGATCGGCCATTTCACGTTTTTTGCCCAGATCTCCAGTCCTCTGAAACTGGCGTCTACTAACATTTCTCAACCGAATCAGTAATTGGGTGTGGGAATCAATAGCAACAAACTTACCCCTCACAGGAACTTGTCGAACGTATGCCTCGTCAGCCATGGATATGGCCTGTTGGAGTCCTTCCAACGTCCGGTCGATGTCATCTACGGTGTCGAGCGGTTGATTTTCATTGATGTTACTGTCCACCATTCGTCCGTACTGCACACAGTTGTTATGGTGGTAGTCTTTAGGCAGGCAGCTTCTAGCAGCAACCACGTTGACACCAACTTCAGTCACCACCGGTTGGTGATCGGAGCTGAGATCGTTGTGCGCCTCCGGCTTGGATAGTCCGATGTTTGACAGGAAAAAGTCCAGGGTGGAAGGATTTCCCGCCGGATAGATGAAAGTTGGTTCGTCCGGAACTTGCACAGTGTACAGTCCATGTTGTGCGTGGTCGAACAATAGACATCCATTCCGGTTCCGCTGGTAGTTCCGCCAAGCTTCATGGCGGGCGTTCAGGTCGCCCCCAACGATGAATCGAGAGCTAGTACGAGTGATGGCGGTCAGGTCGTTCTTGAATTGGATGCCTAGGCCGTTGCTTGTGGTACACTGACGTGGGCAGTAAACAGCGATAAACCGGACGTTTCCAGTTGGTGATTCCACCTCCACACTAACGGCCTCGATGATAGAAGTGCGGATGTGGGGCAGAGTGCAAAACTTGATTCCCTTTCTGACGATGACCGCTACACCACCCCACTGGAGTTGGTGCGATCAAGCCGGATAATGTTGTGGTCAGGCAACCAGAAGCTGTCACTGGACTTTAGGTGGGTCTCGGTTAGAAGAACCACGTCGATGCTATGCTTGCGGAGGAAGTCGGCAAGCTCAATCTGTTTTGCTCTTACAGAGCAAGCGTTCCAGGTAGCGATGGTTAGCGGTTTAGACACCATACTGGATGATGAACTTACCGAGCACTTGGATCTGTTCGGGCTTATTGCGGCACTTACGTAGAGCACCGGTCATGTTGATGAAAATCTCCATCAATTCATCCGCTGTGAACAGATCGGGATTATTTGGTTGAGCTGTTGGTTGTCTCCAGAATCCAGGGGGGATGGAGAGCTTTGTCCAGCAGAAGATCCAGACGTTTCTTGAGGGGGGGGGGGCGGACAAGCAGAGAATCTGTCATACGCTGCGTTCACATCGGCAACTCTAAGCTCTTATCTCCAAGGGATCGTCAACTGATGATGAACTTCACGTTGTTCGATTTGCAAAAGAAGCGCAACTCGATGCTCGTTTTAACTTCGATGAACAGAATCGGATCTGGAGCTTGTATCGTGAATGTATCGTTCCCATTAGGTTACTCTGCACACATTAACCTCACCCTTACTCGAAACGGACCATCAACGGAGCATCCTTTTGAACCGTGGCGTGCATTCCACTTTGACGACGATGGCACAGATCTACTACAGCTTGTGATTAACAACACTACAGCTTGTGATTAACAACAACTTCCAGTCCAGTAACAGCACCATCTTTCTTCAAAATAACGATATTCTTTAGGAAAAGTAATTCGATATCTGCCCAAGTCATATTTCGGACCGAAACAAGAATTTCGTGCAAATCCAAGCTCAACTGCATTCCCTTATTGCTGGTAGCATGTACCTCAAGGATCATTTCCGAGATCATGACTTTACCCTGCTTCACAACCTTAATTAATTTCCGCTTTGTTCTCCATCGTCCTCAGGAACGAAAAAACCAGCTCTATCGCTTGCCAAATGATCGCGGCATCTCTGAGTCCAAAATTCTTCTTGGCTTTCCAGTAGCTTGATGAACGTCTGCCATGTCTGACTTTCGAGTCTCGGAATCATCCTCCACACCCTCGAGGCTTCGTTCGGTCGCAATCCTTCTTCATATGTCCCACGCGGACTTTCCTGCACACTTCTGAAACTATTTCCGATGAAAGCAGCCCATTTAACATCAACGACATTATCTTGACGGTTACTTCTCTTGAGCTCTTCAGTAAACAAACGATGCTTAACCAGGTCTAGATTCGAATCTATGAAAAATCGAATGAAGTTATAGGAACAAAATGGTCGAATGGATAAAATATCGAATAGATTATACAATCGTCAAATTCACAAAATGACAAAATTGACAAAACACGACCATTGAAATGGCCTTAACTCCATTTTGTAAAGTTGGTGTACAAAATGGCCATTTTCTCGCGAACCGAAACCTTCATTCGCAAACCTAAACCACAATCGGGTAGAGGAGAATTTCCCCTACCTGTTCATTATGTTGGTTTGCCTTTGCGGACTTCGGTTCGCGAGAAAATGGCCTTACAAGGTTTGTTTACAAAATGGAGTTAAGGCCATTTCAATTGTTGGTCTTGAAAAGATCGAATTGAAGTATCGTCAAATGGGCAAAAGGTCGAATGTAATCTAAAAGGACAAAAGATCGAAACGGTAAAAGGTCGAATGGACAAAAGATCGAATGAATAATTTATCGAGTGGACAAAAAACGATTAATCGTCAAAAGACCGAATGGAATTAATAGGGACAAAAGGTTGAAATGAACAAAAGATCGAATGGGCAAAATGTCCAATGGACAAAGTGACAAAATTTGCAAAAGGTCGACTTTAAATAACGTCAAATGGACAAAAGGTGGAATGGAATCTATAAAGAACAAAGGTCGAATGAACACAAGGTTGAATGGACAGAAGGTTGAATGGAAACAAATTGGAAAACAATTAATCGTCAAAAGATCGAATGGAATTAAGGTTCTACAAAGGGTCATTATTTTGTTTATTTCTTCTTTTTGAAATATTCTTCAGTCATCATTTTCTAAATGTATTGGTAAAATTCATTGGAAGTGCATGTCCCCACGCCAAAACTGCCCATGGTTTATAAATATCAACTGGTATGGTGAGGAAAACTTTACCATCTCTTTGCTTCCTTCATTTCAATACAACAGCAAATGTGATGTCACACTATCTACTGGATAAGAATGTAGCAGACAAAACATTCACACTGCCAGACTGCGCTGTATGCAAGTTTGTTTACACCCCTGAGCGGGCAAGTGAATACCAGGCTACGTGCACTGCTGCCATCAACCCTGTTAGTGTTGAATTCATTCTTCTGTGGCTTTTTAAATTGGACCGGTAAAATGCCTAGAATGGTCGTTTTTGTTTTATTTACTCAGTTTTAGATATTGATTCACCATTAAATACATCAAATTATCTATGTTAATGAGTCAAACTTCGCAATTGCTTGTTTTAATAAACTTAAATTGATTGCTAGAGGTAATACATCTGGCAACGCTTCTTCAATAATAGTTTTACGATTGCTGGCAAAGCAGTAAAGTTGAAGTGGTTTTCTTGGTTTTCAATTTTGTTCACCAAGAGTTTTGAGAAGCAGTTGTTTTAGGTTTTGTGTATTCAATGGTGTGTTATTGTGCTATGCTTCGAAGAATACAAGTAAGTAAATACAGTGAATATGTTTTACCCATGAAGTTTTCGTTTTAAAATCATGAGATACAAGTGTTAAATTTTTGTATTAATATTATGTGAATGTATGTGTAAACCAATGATGATGATTGAAGAATATTTCAAAAAGAAGACGAACACAAATTTACTTACCCTTTGTAGAACCTTAAGAGGGACAAAAAGTTGAAATGGACAAAATGACAAAATTGACAAAAGATCGAATTTAAATAACGTAAAATGCACAAAAGGTCGAATGGATTTTATAAAGACAAAAGGTCGAATGAACAAACGATCGAATGAACAAAAGGTCGAATGAACAAAAGGTTGGATGGACAAATTAGCGAATGGAAACAAACGATTGATCGTCAAAAGATCGAATTAAATTCAAAAGGTTGAAGTTGCCAAAATGCCCAAATGAGCCAAATGTCTAATAGACAAAAAGTCGAAAGAATTTCGAGCACTTTAAATTTGTATGTTCAGTAGCTTTTATCTGGCAATGAACTGCTCATTTAAGAAATGGAATTCCCGCTTTTAAAGAAACAGGTAAATACAGCAAAAACGGAATACCGTGGACCCCCGCTAATCTGAACGACACTTCATGCATATTAACGGGGTTCGTTTTTAATTTGAAAATCTAGTAACCCTATGCGCATCAGAAAAG